CACACCAGCAGGAGCCCAGGGAACCCTCTGCATGGCAGGGAAGAGACAGCCTCCCCACTGCTGCCCTCCTTTGCTCCGTCCTGGGCCCACCTGCTCCGCATCTTCTACTCCAGCAGCTTCTCCTCGGCCTCTGGGTCAGACGTCTCTACAGCATAAAGCTGAGTTTTCAGAAATCCCTCTGGTAGGTTAGCAGTCCGTGTGCATCAGAAACCCTCTTCTCGTGAATCCTCACCACAGCCTTCTATGCAGTGTTCAGATCTCCCCACTCCCAGAGTTCTTCATGCAGAGGGTGCCAGAATCAAGCCATCTGTGAATGAGAAACCCCACAACTCTGGGTTGGAGTTAGGGGGCCTGGGGATCTCTCCTTTTCACTTTCCGAAAGGATCTTTTGTCCCAAAAGGCCGTGATCAATAATACAGAAATGTTTCGTGCAACCAGTTTGTTTCTAATCACGTCCCTGCCCGTTTTTCTCATCTCATTCGTCACGTCAAAGGAGCAGCTCCAGGGAACAGAGCACACTTGACAGCATTCGTTGCTGAACAGAAAACTTAATCACGAAGGTTCTCCTGCCCACGAATAGTCATGTTTATTCCTCTGGGTTTGCAGAGCATCCTGTTTCTGTGTGAAGCAGCAACAGCGCGGACGAAGGGTCTCTCGAGGCCTGGAGTAAAGCTGTGACCCGTGCACAGCTGAGTGGCCACCTGCTTCTCTGTCTTCCAGCAGCCGACTGCAGCACATAATGGCCGAGATGGTTTCCACAGAGAGGGAGTATGTCAGGTCCTTAGGATATGTCATCGACAACTATTTTCCAGAAATGGAAAGGACAGACCTGCCTCAGGACCTTCGAGGGAAGCGCAGCATGATCTTTGGGAACCTGGAGAAGCTCTATGACTTCCACCGCCAGCATTTCCTCGCAGAGCTGGAGCGCTGCCAGCCCTGCCCCTTGGCAGCGGGCCGCGGGTTCCTGAGACACGTGAGTCCCTCCCTCCTGGGCGCTGACACCAGTGTGGTAGACCGAGGTGCCATCAGCCCAGGTCGCCCTTGGAGAGGCTGGGTCTGGTGACGCCCACGTTTCGGATCGTTTGGATCTGTCTGCAGACCAGACATAGGAAATGTGTCACTAATAGTATGTAAGACCTGCCAATAAACAGATGACCAAAATAGACAAGACGCTTGTGGGTCTGATCATACTGGATATTTTGCTCCGTGTCCCCTGAAGGCACCCTTGGCTCCCCCAAACCATATGACACTGGGGGCTTCACCTGCATCATCACCCCTAATTCTGTCGAAAGCCCCACTTCTCACTTAAGGTAATTGGCCAACAGCACCTCCCCCAATCAGCTTGCTTCCTGTACTTAGGAGCCCACCTGGTCCCCCTGCAGGTGGAGCCCGGGCCAGCGCAGGGAGCTCTGAGCCAGTCCAGTCGGACCTTTGACAGAGGTTCACGGAGTGTGCACGTTAACTCGAGAAAGGCTGCTCTCTCCTTGATAAGTGTCTTCTCAGCAATGAATATGGGATGTCTCCCTATCTGCGTCTTTAATAGAATTCTTAATTCACTCTGAAAAGAAAATGCTTTCACCAAATTACCAAGTAGTGTTCTAGGTACTGGGGACCTAGTGGCATCTGTGTTGTGGGCAGATGAGACACTGACCTCAGCGTTATTATGTAAATTACCACAACAGAAATGTCCAAGGATGAAAGAAATCCCATGTGGCGTCTTGTTTTAAAATTTAAGCTCAAGTTAGTTAGCATACCTTGTAGTCTTGGCTTCAGGAATAAACCCTGCTTACCCGTCACTTACATACGACACCCTGTGCTCATCCCAATAAGCGCCCTCCTTAATGCCCATCGCCCATCTAACCCATCCCCCATCCACCTACCTCCAAAATACCTCTCTGTATTTAAGAGCCTCTTATGGTTTGCCTCCCTCTCTTTTTATCTTATTTTTCCTTCTCTTCCCCTATGTTCATCCGGTGTGTTTCTTAAATTCCACATATGAGTGAAATCATATATCTGTCTTTCTGTGACTGACCTATTTCACTTAGCATAATACCATCTAGTTCCATCCACGTTGTTGCAAATGGCAAGGTTTCATTCTTTTTGATGGCTGAGTAGCATTCCATTGTGTATATATACCATATCTTCTTTGTCCATTCATCAGTCAGGTGACATTTGGGCTCTTTCCATAACTTTGGCTACTGTTGATAATGGTGCTATAAACGTTGGGGTGCATGTGCCCCTTCGCACCCGCACTCCCATTTCCTTCGGATAAACACCTAGTAGTGTAATTGCTGGGTCGTAGGATAGTTCTATTTTTAATTCAGCTATTTCTAAGAAGGTGCTTTTAGCCGTAAGGTGAACTCTGTGTCGTTTTATATTATTGACAACGGTGAGAATTTTACCGGTTAACACAACTTTGGTTCTTGACCATTAAATGAACAAAGGCTCTCCATGCCCCTTCCCAGGCCAGCCTCATGAGGGCTCCCTCTCCCTCTTCCCCCAAACCCTATATGGTAAAGACCGATTCTAGAACTCTGGCCCCGAGCCGAGCAGGCCCTGCAGGCTGGGAAGCCTAGAAGATTGTAGTGCAGCACCGAGGCTCCTTCTGTCACGCCCACAGGGGGACTGAACACGGAGGGTGAGGAGAGAGGCATAGACTCTGACCCCAGCCCCCGACTCAGATGCATGGTGCCCTCCCCTTTTGCAGGAGGAACAGTTTGGCATGTACGCGCTTTACAGCAAGAACAAGCCCCGGTCAGATGCTCTGCTCTGCAGCCACGGCAACGCCTTCTTCAAGGTCGCCCCCCCACCCCGCGAGCCGCGCCGCCCCCCACCCGGCCCAGGGGCTGACCCTCTCACCCTGGCCCTTGCAGGACAAGCAGCGGGAGCTGGGAGACAAGATGAACCTGGCCTCGTACCTGCTGAAGCCCGTGCAGCGTATGGGCAAGTACGCACTGCTTCTCCAGGACCTGGCCAGGGAGGCCAGCTGCTGCCCTGCCTGGGAGCAGGAGCTGGGGGAGCTCCGGGCTGCCGAGGGTGTGGTCCGCTTCCAGCTGCGCCATGGCAACGACCTGTTGGCGATGGATGCGGTCCGAGGCTGTGATGTAAGTGCCCTGAGGCCCTGATGGGCTCTCACGAGTCCAGGAAAGATGTGGCCTGGTATCAGAACACATACGCTTCCCTTTGGGGAAGTCTCCCGAAGCTTGAGAACTCTCAAGGGGCTGGCAGGTGAGGGGAGCAGAGAGCGGCTTCCCGTCCAGGTGACTGGAGCAGCAGCTGCAGGGTGTGAATGGCAGGCCATCTGTTTATTAGGGCTCCTTGAGGACAACTGGATGCATGAAAATGTGGGCCATCGGGCTTGGGGCAAGCCAACATTGGCGCGTCCATGCTGCCAACCTCTCTGCTGGAGTGCTGAGGGCCGGCATCCATGCCCCACCCCACCACAGTAGCATGGTAGGACCAGCATAGGCAGAAGAGGAGCCCTTTCTCTGGCAGAGCCCCTTATGTCTGACATTCAGAGGGACAGCCCCAGAATTCCCAGAACAAAATGAAAATGTGGGTGCCCTGCTTAAAAACAGCACTAAGAGTTTCATGAGCAGTAATCTGAGCACGGGCCCTTCTGACCACCATGATGCAGCACAGCCCCCAGGCCACCACCCATATGGATGTCCTCCCACTGCCAACGCTGGGCACCTGCAAGGGGAGCTGGCCTGTGCGTGGGCTTGGCTAGGGATGTGCCCACGTCCTGCCCTGCCTCTTCAGCCACGCAGACTAGCAGGAGCCCCGACCCTGAGGGTTTGGCACCGGTTACAATGTGTGGGTTTTTCCCCCACACATCCGAGCAATTCTCAGATACCAGCTGGATGTCCTATAATTCAACTCAACGCTGACACCATCTGCCTGGACATAGCATGAGACCCCCACAGGTGAAGGGCTCCCCTTCCTGTGGCAAAGGTCAGAACCCAGAGAAGCAGTGTACTTATGACCTCACCAGTGTACCGTAAAGGGCACAACTTAGGAACAGCCAGGTGGAAGAGAGGCACAGGGCCAGGTGCGTGGAAACGGGTGCAGAGCTTCTGTGCCCCCTCTGAGCGTCTCACCTCTTCACCAAGCAGTAAGCTCTCAAAGCCTGTCCTTTGGGGTTGTATGGAGGCCTCATTATAGGACTCATTGATTGAGTCACTGGCCAGTGGTGATCAATTTCACCTCTAGCCCCTCTCCCCTCTCCGGAGGCCGAGGTGGGGTCAGGTCAGGTCCCACTGTCCCTGAGGGAGGCTGGTTCCATCTGCAGGTAAATCTGAAGGAGCAGGGGCAGCTGAGATGCCAGGATGAGTTTATCGTCTGCTGTGGAAGGAAAAAGTATCTGAGGCACGTCTTCCTCTTCGAAGACCTCATCCTGTTTAGCAAGACCAAAAAGGTGGATGGAGGCTACGACACCTACATGTACAAACAGTCCTTCAAGGTAACACGCCTGCCTCTCACCGGACGCCTCTGGGTGTCAGGTCCTGGTCTGCTGGGTGTGAGCAGGGACATGTGCTGTCTGTTGTTTTCTGTGATTCTGTGTCTGGGCTTCGAAAGCCTCAGACCTTCAAAAACTACAAGGAGACACTTGTCCTTTATAGTTCCATGTACTGGTTCAGTGGCTGGAAAAAGTCTCCTCAGTCGGTAACTCCATTTCAGATTTTGGCATGTCTATAGGTGTGGCCCTCACCTGACTGAGCTTCTGAGCTCCTGAGAGGGTCCCACAACCACAATGCCTTACCTGCCCATGCCAAGGAGCATATCAGAGAGGGTTCTGTAGTCCCATCCGGTGTGGCAACCACAGAACCTTCTAGGCCGGCCTTCCTCTCTCCAGTGGGGGAACTGAGGCCCCAAGAGGGAGCCATTGCATGTGATTGGAACCCAGTTCATCCAGTGGGCCCCAGGCCTGCCTCATCCCTACCATTTGATGTCTGGGTGAAGAGACTCCCAACACTGAGGTGCTGGGGTCAGTCAGCCAGGGAGTGGTCAGTTGGATCAATGGTTGCTGATGCGGCTGCCACTCACTGCTTGTGGTGCAGACAGCCGAGATTGGGATGACGGAGAACGTCGGAGACAGTGGCTTGAGGTTTGAGATCTGGTTCCGCAGACGGCGGAAATCCCAGGACACCTACATTCTCCAGGCCAGCTCTGCAGAGGTCAAGACAGCCTGGACCCACATGATAGGGCAGATCCTGTGGCGGCAGGCTCTGCGGAACAGAGGTGGGCAAAAAAGGGCTATCGAGAGCCAGCTCTGTGTTTAGGGGTCTGGCCTTGGAGTAGAGGTTTGGGGCCAGGGGTTAGGGGCTAAGTTCAGGCCAGGGGTATGGGGTCAGGGGTTGGGGTCAGGGGTTAGGGGGTTGGACCTGGGTAGGTGCTTGGGGCCAGTTTGGGCCAGGTGGCCCTTGGAGAGCCCTAGGCCCAGGTGGCCCCTGGGAGGCCCCCTCCGTCAGCACCATTTATGTGGAAGTGGCTGGATCCTTCCATCAGCACACAAACACGTATTTCCCCTTTACTCATGTATAAACAAGACCCCTGTCCCCACACCATGGCAATTCCAGAGATGTCATGACAAAGCACCATGCCCTCCTGGATGATAGGACACTGTTGTCTCCCTGAAGGCGAGGGACCTCTTCTGTAAGGCCCTATGCTCCATGTGCCAGGAACCCACCTAGGGTCTGCCCCGACATGCTCCTGGTCTGGATTGATGGTGTTGGGTGCAGAGCATCAATTGGTGTGGTATCAAAGCCAAGCCACTGCTTGGAAAATGTCCTACCCGCTTCTGTTTTAGAGCTCAGAATGCAGGAAATGGTGTCAATGGGGATGAGCACCAAACCGTTCGTGGACATCCAGCCCAGCGATGCAGCCATAAGTGATCGGGCCGTCAAGAAGGGGGCAGGTAATGTGGCCTCAGCCCTCACTCTCACTCTGTTCCGCCGACTCAGACTCAGGTCCTGGCGCTCACTGTGGGCCCCAAGGGCCAGCACAGTGGGCTGGACGTGACTGCAGTGAGAGGGACCTGGTCAGTTTTCAGATGGCCATTTCATTCTCGAGTCTGGACCACGCTTTTGGAGCCAAAACCAGACCGACCTGCTTTCTGTCCCCTTCCAGAGTCATGGACGCGAGCACCCATGGCCGTGCCCCCCTGTGACCACGCCACCTCCTTTAAGAGGCCACACTCTACCATCTCAGACAGCAGCACCTCCTCCTCTGGCAGCCAGTCCTCCTCTGCCCTGGGGCCACCGGGCCTGCATGCCACTGCCAGCCCAGCCCTGCGGAGCTCCGCCTCCTGCCCCTGGCCGTACGACATGCGCACCTGCTTCGAGGAGGAGGATGAGCTGGAGCAGGAGACCGGGAGCCAGCCTTCCACGAGTGAGTGTACTTAGCACTGGAGCCTGCACGCCCCGGCCTCCGACAGCCGGTCCTGGGGGTGGGGGGCAGTTCACGGGCTCATTTATCTCCCTTGCTCCTATGTACTTCCAAAAGTTTTCAAACGCGTTCTGATTTTTCTTTATAAAGAAAAATTTGTTAAAAAAACAAACACCAAAAACTTTTACTTCCACCCAAAATGAGGTAATAGGGGACAGACCTAAAACAAGCAAGCAGACAAAAACAAGACGAAACAAATCCTAAACAGACAAAAGATGTGAATCAAGATTTTGAGACATAGGACATCCAGCACCACAGGTAGTGACCTGAGAGGCAGGCATGCGATGTCGCACATTCCTGTGATTGGTCCGATTTCTGCCCTGAGAGGGGTGCAGTGAGGGGAGCCTCAGACCCCCAGTGGAGGAGGACAGACCAGGGGAGCCCCATGCAGTGTGAGCCCTCTAGGGTCTGGGCCCAGCAGAGCGCTGGCCAGCACCGCACCTGAGGAGGCCGCCCAGGCCTGAACCTCTGGCGGACTAAAGAGCCTCCCACGGCACAGACAGCAGCAGCCCCATCCCGGGGCGGCTGCAGGTCCTTGGAAGGGCTCGCTCAGGGGAGGGTGTTGGACTGACACTGCTGGGGAGCTGCCAGCGCGTCACGGATGGAAGACGTCTGCCGCTAACCTCACTGCATCCTACAGCAAACCTCAAGGAGGTTTATAGGGTCACAGAAACATCCAGCAGCCAGCAGGGTAGACTCACACTTTCCCGTACCAGGCCTGCAACGATGTAGGAGACAGACCGTAACAAGGGCAGTAATCAATCGGGCAACGTCAGCTGGAACTGACGTGACCGTTAGAATCGCCGATCCTGGTGGTCACACCGTCATCCTGTGTCTCTGCTGTCCACCACATTAAGTCACAACAGGGAAGATAGGGTGGACTAAGCTTAGCAAGATAAACGGCCACAACGCCCAAGGTGAACATGTCACTGGGTGGGGTTGCCAGAAAGTAAGACTTGGCAGAAGAAAAGGTTAGTGATGTAGCAGTAGAAACTGTCCAAAATGACACAGAGAATCAAGGAAAAAGAGCAGTGAGCTGTGTGACAACCTCGAGCAGCCTGACAAACACGTACCAGCGTCCCCAAAGTGGAGGGACAACAAAACTCTGAGGGAACCATGGCTGAATATTTCCCTGACTTGATGAAGGGTGTAAACCCAAGGTCCCAAGAAGACCCCTGAACCCCAAGCACACAGAATGCGCGTTGTAAACTGTGGAAACCCAGTGACGACAGACATCTTGAAAGCAGCCAGGGAGCCGGCGTGTTCTGTGCAGAGGGACTTCTCACGGCGGACAACACGTTGGGCTGGCATTGTCTGACAACCATCGAGTTCAACGTGACAAAAGTGTCTTTCAGGAATAGTGAAACAAAGCGAAACAACATGCTCGTGCATATGAAAAGCTGTAACTGTTCCTTACCAGCAGACTCCAAGGAGAAGGGCAGTGACACGGGGGGGACAAAGGCTGAAGAAAGGAGGGCTCTTCTATTTAAGTCTCTGTAAGAGACAGTGGCCGTTTGAACAGCACAGTGTCAAGAGAACACGGGGTTAACACGCCGAGGCCATGGTGTATGTGTACATAGAACGGATGGCGATGTGGCGGTTCTCAGCTGTGTGGTTCTATATGATTGCTGAGGTGTGTAATACCACCAGGGACGGATTGTGAGTCGTTAGGTATGCATTATAACTCCAAATGACCCCTAATATAACAAAGCAAAGATTTGCAGCTAATATACCAACAGCGGAAATAAAATGGAACCCTAAGAAAAGCTCAAGCCAAAAGAATGTAGAAAGAGGAGACGGAGAACAGAAAGACTAACGAGAAAATAGACAGAGGCTCAGCATACCCGTGACCACAGGAGTATGCATGGGGCACAAGCAGCCTTCTGTGACTGACACACGTGTGCTGTGCAGACCGTGTCCATGCTGTCGGGCCTCACAGCCACCCACACGGGTCCCCCCCTTGTCCGACGGCGCACGGAGAGGCCTGCATTCTGAGAGCGCCGGCCTCCACGTGGAGGGGTGGGTGTGTTGGCTGGGCCCACGGTGGTTGGTTTTTCGTCTCCTGTGTGTGGGGAATCACCACACACATGGTGTGGAGGGTCACAGGTGTCTGGTTTTCCACAGAAATCCTTCCCACAGCCCCAGTGAGGCCCTTCCTCAGCGACACTGCCTGGGACACACGTCCTCCCAAGCCCCCATTGTGCCACCATGACAACACCTCCGAGGGCACCGCTGACCACAAAGGCGTGTCTGCCCAGATGGAGGCATCGTGCCTGAAGTCTGCTGGGGCTGCCCAGGTGTGCCAGGTGGCCCGCACCTGCTCAGAACAGCAGCAGCCACCTTCGTCGGGCCTGTGCTCTGGGCGGGCCCACAGGGAGTGTGGCTGGGGGTACGCCCACGTCGCCAGCCCACAGCCACTGCGGTTTCCTGGTGCCGCCCTCCCTAGCTCCCACGTGGGCTGGTGCATCTCCCAGTGAAGCCCAGGTCTGGAGGTGGGGCTCTCTCTTCTCCTGCGATGTAAGACTCAGGCAAGAGTCTGTGCGGGAGGGCTCTGCCCAGCCGTCGTCAGCTCTGTGCAGAAATGGCCCTGTGATCCCCACGCAGAAGTGTGTGGGAAAGCCCACACCGGCCACACGGAGGTTGTGCCTATGCAGCAGGGCCACGGCCGTGGCTCCGCCTGTGGTGATACAGCTGGGGCCCCCAGCAGCCCTTTAGGGCCGAGCCCTCATCCTGTCCTATTTATTTAAGCCGTGTGGCCCTTCTTGGGCCTCATTTTTTATTTTTTCCCTTTGACTGATGTGAGCCAGAGGCGTCCCGCTGGTGGAGAGGTCACCTGAGCACCTCCCTCCCAGTCTTCTCTGATTTCAGAAAAGCAGGGTCAGGAGACACTTGCTCATAAGGGTGTCCGCTTGCTCCGGCAGCACGGTCCCATCTGTTGTGACCCAGCCTCACAGTTGTCCCGTCATAACTCTGCGTGCATAACACATGCCTCACTCTCTATTTACACGCTTCAGGGGGCCCTGAGTGCTGCGTGCAGAGGCAAGGGGGCCAGCCACCCCTAACCCAGCCCCTCTTTGCAGTGACTGAGTGCACGTCGTTGGGGGCCGGTGGCCTCAGGCTCCCAGGGCTGTTCTCTGAGGAGGGCCCCCAGAGCGCCTGCCCTGCTGTCCCCAGGAGGGGCTCGCAGCAGCAGCTCCACAGCCAGTTCACCACAACCGTGAGTACCCTCTCCTGAGACCTGAGTACCCTCTCCCTGTGAGAAGCCTGCCAGGCATGCTCAGGACCTGCCTGGGGACCCTGCTGGTGGGGCTTCCTGCTCAAGGGTTGGCCGCTCTTTGTCCTAGTCAGCAGGGGCGCCAGGCTATTGTTGGCAGCACAGGAGAGCCCAGACGCCGCTCAGGATGTACACACAGTCACATCGCCCCTGAGAGGGCGGGACTGGGGTGACCAGGGCAAGAAATGGGGGTGCCACTCAGACACAGAGCCCTTCTCAACCAACCTTCACCCAGCCCCGGGTCATACACCTATCCACTGCAGGAAGCACCATCCTGGTTCTGGGAGAACCCCCATTCCCCCCCGACTCATGGGAGCCATCCCCCAGTTCTTGGGAGACACCCCCATTCCCCCACTCTGTGAGAACCGTCCCCCAGTTCGGGGGAGACACCCCCATTCCCCCACTCTGTGAGAGCCGTCCCCGAGTTCTGGGGAGACCCCCTATCCCCCCCACTCTGTGAGAGCCATCCTCGAGTTCTGGAGAGACACCCCCATTCCCCCACCCTGTGAGAACCGTCCCCAAGTTCTGGGGAGACCCCCCCACCCCCCTCACTCTGTGAGAGCCATCCTCGAGTTCTGGAGAGACAACCCCATTCCCCCACTCTGTGAGAACCATCCCCCAGTTCTTGGGAGACACCCCCATTCCCCCACTCTGTGAGAGCCATCCCCCAGTTCTGGGGAGACACCCCCATCCCCCCCATTCCCCCACTCTGTGAGAGCCGTCCCCAAGTCTGAGGGTATGCTGAGCCAAGAGTGTATGGAAGACAGGCCCTTGGCCCACGCACCCTAGATTGCTGGTGATGACCAGTGACCTGGGCTCTCATCGGTGATTGCCTCCCCTTCTGACAGTAGTTTGACTGGCAGACAAAACAGGCCCTAGGTGTGGGGCTGTCCCAGCTTCTCCTGAAGTAATGGGAGGGTTCTCTCGTCCACTGTCACCTTAAGATGCTGGACACGCCACCACCAGCCAGGGAGCCTGGGTGTCTCCGCCTTGTTCCATATGCTCCCACACACAGTCACGTGGCTGGACATTAACAGCCCCCCGGGAGGAGCACCCTGGCCAACAAGGCTGTTCCCCTGTTACCTCTGTTCCTGGACCAACCTCCCTGGGACCTCACTGCCTGTACCCCTGGGAACCACGTGTCAAAGAGGGTGGCGTGGGGCTATTTCTGAGAGCTCAGGCATTCCTCCAAGAGGAAAGGGCCCGCAGACCCAGGCCCAGAGGCCTGGCCACAGAAGCCGATGGGGACCACTCCCACCTGCCCCAACCCCCGGACACCCCTTTGGAGTAGCTGCTGGGGAACCTGGCACCCTGCCCTTCTGAGAACTGGGTACCTCCCCAACACCCACTCATATAGCCCGTGCCCTGAGCCTTGCCAGGGGTTGGTGCCCTGAGGCACGTGCACTCACACGTTCTGGGATCAGAACGGCAAACACAGAACTGACACGTTTCAGGGTCAGAGTGTTTTGACTTCCAAATACATCGTGATGCCAGCCGAGGTGGTCACCCTATAGGTTCTGTCTGGACCCAGACCCAGGGACGAATCCACCACAAGGGTACCCAGCCTTGCCCTGACCTCGCCAGTGCTGGCCCTAAGTGCTTTTTTTTTTTTTTTTTTTTAATGTTTACTTATTTATTTTTTGAGAGAGAGAAAGCACAATCGGGAGAGGCAGAGAGAAGGGGAGAGAGAATCTCAAGCAGGCTCCACACTGTCAGCACAGAGCCTGATGTGGGGCTCGAACTCACGAACCATGAGATCACGCCCTGAGCCGGAACCAAGAGTCAGTCGCTTAACCGACCAAGCCCACCCAGGGGCCCCTCAAGTGCTTCTTAAAAATGCATGTGTGTCCATGAGTCTGAGAGCACCTTGCAGGGTATGAGGCCTCACGCAGCCCCTCCCAGACAAGGACTCTGTGCTGTCTACGCCTCGGGCACCAAGCAGCTGGATTGGGGGGGGGGGGGCTGTGGGGTATGAGTAACCACCCTCATTCTTTCCACAGCTGTGAGGTATTTGGATGAGACTCAGCCCAGGGAGAATCCCCGTCAGAGAGAGCAGAGGACCCTCGGCCCAGATCTGTGCCTGAGGTCTGGGAATGAAGTGCTCATGCTGGGAGCTCCTGATGCACCCCTACCGCAGCTGCTGGCCACCCCCACCCTCAGCACGCCATGGGCCCTGCCTGCCTGGCCATCACCTGGCCTCCCTCCACTCCTTCTGGGGCTCCTCAACCCCAGGCCACAGGCTCAGAGGGCTAGCCAGCCCAGATCTCCACCCCCGCACTGCTCTGAATTCCCCCGTGCTCCGAGGGCTGTGCCAAGGTTGGGGTGGAAACACACGGACCCCTGGTTCCGTTGGGGAGGTCCAAGCAGGCTTGGGGTGTCTCAGAGCAAGGTGGGCCCTCTGCAACCCTGTTTCCTGCAGTTCCAGGCCACACAGGCCCATGGGCGACAGTCCCCTGGAGTAGCCCTCGGTGAGATGTGTCCCAGACACAAAGGGTGCCTCTGAGTATAATTGGAATATTGGTTCTCTTTCCTTTTTAACAAGGCATGTATAGACAGTGGGGCTGCCGGTCACCACCTGTGGGCCTGGGTCCCAGGTTGGGGTGAGGGCACAGCAGCTAGGCCTGAGGTCTGGGGTGTAGAGAGCGCCCCAAGAGGACCACCCCTCTCCAAATGGAGCAGAATAATAATAAGCAGGGAAAGCCTAGGTAGACAGAAGACTTCAGTGAGCTTCCTGCTGCAGGTGTCTTCCCCACGAGACCCCCATTCTCCAGGCGGCAGCACCACCAGACCAGCCACCTGGAACAGGGGCGGGTGGACAGGCAGGGTCCACACCAGAGGGACTTTGCGACTGTGTGTTTCCCAGCTGCTCTGAGCTGTTTCCATTGTTACTTTGTTTCAGTGCTGACTTGTTCCGAACTCCAGGAACATAAATAAATGGGACCTGTTTTTCTAAGACACGGTCACGCTGCTCTTACTTGGTTCTGTTGTGCCCAGGGACGTCACCAGCATGCGTCACCCAGGGAGCCTGGCTCCCATGACTCTGCGGGGACATGCGCAGCGGGACCTTTGTCTGGGGTCTCCCTGGTCCACGCCCAGGGCCACGTTGCCCGCCGCAGCTCCCAAGCACGGGCCCCCCTGTGGTGGGCACGGGCGGCACTCTTCAGGGGCCCGGTGCTACTTAGCCAAGCACTCGGGCAGCTCTGCTTTCACCAGCTGAGCGCTCCAAGGACAGGCTGGCCACTGGCAGACGCCTCCAGGGCCAGAGGCAAATAAGCACCCACGACCAAAATAGCTGTCAGATGACCAGAGGGCCCGCTCGCCACCTTTGGCCCAAAGGCGAGCTGCTCACAGCAGCCGCAGCTAAAAATAAACGAGAAGGGCACCCATCTTTGGGAGAATCGCAACGGGAGAGCACCGTCCTGCCTTCGGGCCGCCACAGGCAGGCACAATGAGGTCGCTACGCTTCATTTCTGCTGAGGCCCTGGTGTCTCACCCCCAGGTGGCCAAGCAGAGCCTGGATGGTGTGGCCCACAATCTCTACCCACTCCTGTTCAAAGCCAGCTACTTGCTGGAGCAGGCAGAGGTGATCCGCACCCTGCTGGAGCGCTGGCCGCTGGAGGAGTTCTGGCTGAGTGCGCTGCTCGGGCCGCGCTCGGAACCCCCGGAGGACTTGCGGGACCGCGCCTGCCGGGCCTGCCTGGAGGCCTGTGTGCAGGGCCTCGCGGACCACGTGCTCCGGGCCGGGGGCCCGAGGCGGCTGCGGGTGGCAGACCTCACAGGCATCCGAGACGTGCAGGTGCAGCAGTGCCCCTGTGGCAGGGCGCTGGGCAGGTGGGGCCGCACGGAGCTGCTGGCCAGGACCTGCTGCCGGCTGCAGGCAGAGCCCCTGGTGGCCCAGCGCCCCATCCAGGTCCTTGCTGACCTCTTTGTCACAGAGGGCAACTTCAAGGTGGTGGTGCAGGCCCTGGGGCCATCAGGCCCTGCCCCACTGCGTGTGCACTGCCTTTCTTTCCGCGCTGACAGCCTGGGCCCCAGCCAGCTGCTGCACGTGCTGCGTCTGGCCGGGCCGGGTGAGCTGCGCAGGCTCGAGGTGGTGCACAACGTGCGGCTGCATGCGGGACACGTGCAGCAGCTGCTGGCCCAGGTGGGCTTCCCCCAGCTGGCCTCGCTCACCCTGCCTGCCAAGGCCTTCGACGCACCCCCCACCAGCACCCCAACCCCCGACGGCGAGGACCCCCTCCTCACCTCCATCGCCTGGGAGCTCAGCCAGATGACCCAGCTCACAGAGCTGAGCGTGGCCTTCTCCACCCTGACAGGGAAGATTCGGAAACTGCTTGGGTGAGTCTGGGGTGACGGGACGGAGGGCAGGCCGGGTTAGCGGTGTCTCTGTTCACAGCTACTCAGCGTGGGTCTGGGTGACACGGGGCCCTCTCAGCGGCCAGGCGGAAGATGCACAAGAGACCTACCTGCAGATGGGACCTGGCAGTTTACAAGGGCACAAGTTTCCCGGCTCCCTCCATCTTTACTCTGTGAGGGCCCAGAGCAGCAGGAGGGCACAGACAGAGGCGTGTGACCCAGGGGGGTTAGGTTGCGTGTAGCCTGGCAACACAGGGAACTCAAGGAGGACTGGTTTTGGTTAGTGGGCAGAAGAGAAAATTAGCAAAACGAACAACATACAAGTGACTATGTTATATTGTATTAATTATCTGTCTCATAACAAATTACCCCCACACTGGCCTATGGTGGGCCACAAGCTCCATCAGAGCCCAGCACAACTTGGGTCTACTCTTGTGGTCTCCTCTGAAGGCTTGGTAGGCCGGGAGGGTTAGGCCATCCACTTCCAAGTTCAGTGTGAGGCTGTTGGCAGGTGGCCTCTGCACCTCGGCTGCTGGGAGTCCTCACGACAGAGAGGCTGATCTGAGAACCAGAGGTCACCCAGCTAGAAGCTCTTGAGACCGATGTGTCCACACTTCTGCATACCTTGTTGGTTTGGAGCTAGTCGACGGGTCCATCCACGTGAGGGGAGGACACCACACAAGGGCGGGAGCACCAGGAAGGTCAGGGTTCCACCTGGTTGGTGACTGGCCATGAACATAGAAAATTAAACTTCTTTCTTGAGCCAGTGGGGGTGAAGATGTGGCTTCTAGTTTAGGGAGTCCTTGGCTTACAGATGTTTCTCTTCTATACAAAGGAACCCCAGAAGCTGCTGGCCAAGGGCTGCCCTCACCTTTCCTTCTCTTTCCTAACCCTCCTCCTTCACCCTGCCTACCCCAGACCCCCCCACCCCTGGTCTTCTGTCCCAGGTCTCCTAGAGAGAGAAAAATGAGGGCTCCCTTCCTCCTTTCCTCCTGTCCCCAGTCTCCTGACATAAGAAAGGATGGTTCTGAGCTCATGTATGAATAAACTCCGGCATGTATATGGTGGCTGGCTCTTTGAGACCCTCAGGACAGTCCTGCATTTCTGGCCTAGGTCCTCAGCCTGGATGTGCCTTTGCTACTGGGGGAAATTGGTTCCACAAGCCAGATGACCCATCACCGGCCCAGCAGGGCCATCTTGCTAGCTCAGCCCCTGACAGGCTTTCCCGTCTCCCACCACACTCTGACCCTCCACTGGTAGAGTATGTCCTCCCACGTGAGTTTCAGTCTGGCTGATTGTCAACAGCCTGGTGAGGCCCCAGGGAGGTCCCAGCATGACGTGTGTCAGGCTAAACAAGCGTAAGACTGGGGGCGGGGGGGTGGGGTCGTTGGTGGTGGTGGTAGTCGGGGAAGGCTCACTCCCTGGCGTGACTTTGAGCAGAGACCCAGAGCATTGAATAGGCAGACTGTGCGGTGGCCTGGACAGAGGCGCAAAGGGCCCAAGCTGGTAATATGGAGGGATCAGGCATCAGCAGGGAGAAGGTTGGGGTTGGTAGGCAGGGCAGTGTGAGAGAGGGGAGTAGGGGAGGGGAGGAAAGGAAGAGAGAAAGTCCTTGGAGGTTCTGAGCAGGAAGAAGATGTGGTCGCGTTCGTATTCACAAGGGCTTCTCGGGCTTCTTTGGCCCACACGATAGACCTGGATGGAGGGGCCGGGAAAAGGACAAGCATGGTGGGCTCTCAGCACCCAGGAAGTACAGGTGCAGGGGCAGGGGGCAGGAGGGGTGGCAGAGAACAGGACCCCATATACTCTCCTGCACTGAGTGCTCAGCCTGATGGCACCAGACCCGGGCCCAGCATCACCCGGGCAGGGTGGGCTGAGGATGTGCATTCTTCACAAGTCCCGGGGCGCAAGGGCCCTTCCTGACTTTGAGAACTGCCCACCAGAGCAGGGTTTACCCCGGCTGTGCATTTGCTGATGCCGGGCCACCTACCCCACTTACATTAGAACACGGGAGGGTCTTTAGGTCCCAGCAAGGCTAGGGCTGGACTAGATGGCTCCATGGCTCTTCCCCGCCCTAAAGTTGTGAGGGCTTCCTCTCTTTGTTCATAGTGAAGCTAGCTGTTTTGTGCCAGCTCATGTGCACCTCACTGCCCCACGGCAAGTACATGAGCAGACACGGTGAGGGGTTGACAAAACAGATTTAACATTTTAGGAACTGAAGACAAAGGCCAGACCTGTCTTGGGCTAAGTTAATTCTTCTCTACACTTGGTCACACCACTGGTTCAAGACTCAGCTCTGCCATCACAGCCCCAAACTGTCCACAGACAGGAGGCAAATGAATTACCCTAGTTCTAACAACACTTTATTTATGGACACTGAAAACTGAATTTCATATTATTTTCACATGTCACAGAGTATCTTTCTTCTTTTGATTTGTTCCAATGTTTACAGATATAAAAACCATTTTAGTCTTAGGCTGAATAAAACAAGGCAGGAGTGGATTCAGCCTTTGGGCCATGGTCCGCTGACCCATGAGATAGAATTCACCTTTATTCCTCCCAGAGCTCCTTGCGGGGATCTCCTTTCACCTGTGCTCTTTTCCGCCCCGCCCCTAGCCCCCTGAGGACACCGCTGAGGGTCCTGGACCTGGCCAACTGCTCCCTGAACCACGCGGACATGGCCTTCTTGGCAGACTGTGCCCACAGCATGTGTCTGGAGGTGCTGGACCTCAGTGGGCACAGCCTGTTCAGCCTGTTCCCCTCAACCTTCTTCAGGCTGCTGGGCCGGGCTGCCCAGACACTGAGGATTCTCACCCTGGAGGAGTGCAGCATCGAAGACAGCCACATGAGCATGCTGATATTGGCCCTGAGCCCTTGCCACGAGCTCTGTGAGCTTCGCTTCCTGGGGAACCCACTGTCGGCCCGGGCCCTGAGGCGCCTCTTCACAGCTCTCTGTGAGCTGCCGAAGCTTCGGTGCGTAGAGTTCCCAGTGCCCAAGGACTGCTACCCTGAGGGCACCGCCTACCCCCAGGATGAGCTGGCCATGTCCAAATTTGACCAGCAGAAATACAATGTGATTGCTGAGGACCTCCGGGCTGTGCTGCTTAGGGCTGGCCGGGGGGACATCCAAGTCTGCACGCCCCTCTTTGGAAGTTTTGACCCAGATATCCAAGAAACAAGCAATGAACTTGGAGCTTTCTTGCTGCAAGCTTTCAAAACTGCTCTAGAAAACTTTTCTAGAGCGTTGGAACAAATGTAGTAGGCGCTTGAGCAGGCCAAAGGGGGCCTTGTAGTTCAGCTGCACGACACCCCGGGCATCCTGAGTCAGCAGGCTTGGGCATCTGCTCCCCCGGCCACCACCATTTGAAGCATCTCTTAGTGAAACTCGTGTGTGACATCCATTAAGCACTAGAGGAGTGGAAACTCTGGCTCCAGGAAAGGTGACTCAAGGCCACTTTGGTGTCAGAGCTCCAGGGGGACCCACGAGCTGTCCGCCACCGTGGTAGTGGTGAACAGCGGAGCAGTGCTGGGCAGGATGGGAGCAAGGAGAGGGAGCCCAGACATCAGGCCAGGGCCAGGAAGACACCAGAACCTGTCACAGAACAGGTTGTCTGTACCACGTCTGGGTGGTTTGAGTGATTGAGTCCTGATGCATAAATGCTTAATTACAATGTCGGGGCTAGGTTTCTGTTAAGATCTGACTCATACGAAGGGCTGAGTGTTAGGATGATTACATACTAATAAAACAGCAGTGTGACTTATTCGGACGTGGCTTTAATTTCAACGCAATTTGTATTTTTTTAAGTATCTAAGAATATGAAAATGAAACGTTTTCTCAAGACAGAGGCTAGGGCTTGATGGGGCCACGCCTCCTCACACCATAACCACCAAGTTCTCAATGGGGGTTTGAATGACTGTGTGAGCAGGCTCTGTCTTGTGTCCAACAGCAGGTCCCTCCTCCCCCCGGGTGAGTCCCTCTCCGGGTATGTCCCATGCCTTTCTCTCCACAACCAAGTGGGGCTGCCTAAGATGTGGGGCTCCCGAGTGACAGCTGTCTCAGGATTCTGCTTACTGAGGAAGGCAATAAGGTTCCTCCTGGGTCTTTCAGGAAAGGAGGACATCCAACCAGGGGGCAGGAGGGAAGAGGTGACATCTAACTCCCCTTGCCCCTCAGATCTGCTTTCTGAGCCACCACCCTCACTGCTCTGCTCACCCTCGGCCATCTCCACAGGTCCATCCTGCTGGCAAAGTCTCTGAACCCTATTTCAGGCACATGGAGTTTGTTATTTTAAGAAGGTCTCGAAAAGAGGGTAGTCACAGAGCAAAATTTTGCAGTGATTTCATTCTAACTCTAAGGAGTGAATTAATTGAAACTGTTTGTGTCTGTGGCTGGCAGGATAGGACCCAGCACGTACATGGGCAGCTGTGGCGGAGATGGGCCCAGGGGTGCTGTGGTGACTGAAGCAGGAGGTAGGCATGCAGGCGTCTGCTGGTAGCGAATGTTCCTGACGGCTCCCGCTCCTGGTGCCCCTGAAGAACGAACGCATGAAAGCCAAAGAGGATGGTGGGGGCGGGAGGCACAGTCAGAGCAACTCTGAAGCATGTGAAGCAGCCAAGCAGGACCTGTGCCTCCTGTGCCATCGTGGTGCCTGTCGTTCACTTGTTCCCGCGGACCTGCTGGGCCCCAACCCCGAAAGTGCCATTTCTGGCCACGATGGGTTTTTGCCACACCTGCCCAGCCTGGGAATCAGAGGCTCTGACGATGCCCATGTGATGTCGGTCCCAGGAATCCTGCCAGGGCCCAGGCACATCCCTGTGCTTTTCATGCCGGGGAGGGCACGGCTCCAACCCAAGGGCAAACTGTGGGGACAAGAAAACCCATCCTGCAGGTGGAGAGCGGGGCAGAGGGCCGGGTGTCAAGAGGTTGCGAAGGTGCCACATGGCAGCTCGACTGTCTCTCCTCCTGGTGAAGCTTAGGGGCCTATCACTGCCCAAATCTACCCAGTCTTCCTAGGGGCCAGACACCTGAATTAAGCAGGAACAGTGTGAGGACCACGATGGACACTGGGAAACGTCTTTCCAGGACATCAGGGACATGGTCTTTGCTCCCCCCAAGTCCTTTGTGGTGGCTTAATCATCGCACATCCTCCAGGAAGTCAGCGCTGCTTCCTGTTGCCTATCCTGGCAAAGAGGGAGTGCAGATTCAGGGGCTTCCACTTGGTCCTTCCTACCCTGCTTTTGTTCCAGATGCTTCTTTCCAGTTGGACACTCCAGACGAGGAGAGATCGACTGATCCAAGGAACCCTCTGTGCGGGGGACGTGGCCAGAAGACCTGGAGACGTGAGCCTGTGGCTCTTAGTATTACTCACGCTGTCTCTTTCCTTCTCATTTTGTGGCTTGAGCAACACCCTGATCAGTTGCCACCCACTAGACCCTATGACTCCATCTCTATCATTGGCCACCGCGGCAGCTCCCTATGGGTGAAGGCTGTCTTCTGGGTCTTGATGCCCATCACAGCGATTCCACCCACCTGCCCCTGCCAGTCCTGAATGCCATCAGCCTGGGGCCCAAACCCACCCACAACATCACCGCCACCAGTGGGCCTCACTTACAACAGCAGCCCTGGCCTGTGGGCAGCAGGCACTGCCGAGCTACTCAGTGGTGCCAGAGCCCTTTTCTCAGCACCTCAGTGGGGGCAGCAGCATCTGCCCTCATGTGATAAACCCTCTCAACACCCCCTCCACGCCTCCATGAGCCTCTGTGCTTTTGGCTCCGGGCAGCCTGGCACTCATCCCCCACTGGCCGCAGGTTGCCCACAAGCGGCCAGTGTCCTTGCGAGGACATTATACGCAGGGATACAGGGGAGTCCCCCACAGCGGGGTGCCCTGCCCCACCCTTAGACGCACCCCCCCGCCCCCCCGCCGTGAAGCCCAGGTCCTCTTAGGTGCAGCCATTTCCCCCTGGAGCAGGACTTGCCAGTGGCGGGGGCAGGGGGTCTGCGGGAGGGGCTCAGACGCGATGCTTCCCCGCAGTCTGCACCCTGACAAGACCCTGACTTGCCAGGGAGTCTGCAGAAGGTGGATTTCCCTCAGAGCTGCCGCAGAGGCAGTCGATGGTTGGCACACGAAGCCTCGTTTTCTCGTCGAGACTTCCTCTGATGTTAACAAAGGCCACACACCTTGACTTCCCTGCACCCTCTCCATTCGAATGCCGTAGGAGCATAGAACCCCCCCCCCCCCGGTTCCCAAACTGCCACGCACGGGAATAGAACAGGTAATACGCAAGCTTAGGAGGCCCCGGAAGAGAAAGACCAAAGCAAACATGCACACGCGAAGCAGAGAAGCCACTGAGCCAAGGCTGCTGACAGGTGCTGCCGTTTCTGGCTCCTCTCTGAGGGACTGGCCTGCACTGTCCACTCCTGCCCTGAGGGTTCTGTGTCATGTCTTCGAGTAAGCCACCCCCTTGTTACTGTCTCACGTAGCTTGGATTGATCTCTGTTACTTGCAGCCAGAGTCCTAATCCGGAGAGAAAGGGAGCAGCTGTTTTTGTCACTGCTGGAAGAGAGGAGCACCTTGTGTCGGTGAGCAACAGCCCACTTAGGCGGGTCCGGGCACATCCGGAGGCCCGGCTCTGGCTGCGCACAGCCCTCCCGGCAAGCTCTGTGACATCTCTCTGGCCTCTCCAGCTCCGGCTGAGCTGGGTGGGGTCCCCTGCTCCCTCACAAGATAGCTTAGTGAGCACACGCCGTGGCTGAGTCTTTACCAGTGCCCGCGTGTCTGCTTCACATCGGCTTTCCTGAAGTGACACTAAAACGGGGGAACTAATGACAAACTTTTCCTCCCTCTCCTTAAAGAGATGATCTTGGTAAACTGTTCGGCCATCAGACCTTTGAACAATCCCACACAGAAATACTCCATTACGTAGTTTAATTAAATATAACTTCTCTTTTCAAAAACACACAGGTTCTTGGGTGAAGACTTCCCTGTCATAACTACGCATCATTGGTGCGTTTGCAGAATTACTTTGTCACCATGAAATCAACAACTTCCTCTGCCAGCCAGTTATAGACAGACACAACCGTACACACACAAAGAAATACGTGGAAGAATTCTGATCTGTCTCTTTGAACTTTAACAAGGGGGGAAAGGCATGTTTAACATAAATTGAGTGGGATTAATCTATAGCACTGTTTCATTTTGGGGACATTCAGGTCAAACCCTGTGCCTTCCAACTTTATTCCAAAGTGAAGCACACTGAAGTAGGCACTTCCACAGGAAGCAGAGGCTGAACACAGCCCCGCCCCTGCCCCGTCCAAGCCCTTCCTGTGGAAATCACTGCAACCCCACCCACAATAACCTGGAGTCCCCAAATCAATTAAAATCACAGGCTGTGAAATGACCCCTCTTCTTGACTGCCACAGAGACAGGCTCCCTCCAGGGACGGGAGCGTCAGTCTGAGAATTTCCAGAAAGCAGCCTGGACAAATGATGATGTTTGACTCTCAAGTCCCCACAAATCTTGCACACGTATCAAACAGCTCCTGGCTCCGATCCTTTTTCTGTTTTAAACACTTTTCTTTCAGTAATGTTCTACTGTAGCCTCTTAGTCCACACATATTTTGCTGTATCTGTGAAGTCATCACATAGGCATGACATGGTGTAAACATTTCGAGCCTAATAAAAAATCAGCGTGAAAAGGGATGGCATCAGATTAACCCTCGATGAAACTTGCTAATGGAAGGCAGCTGTGCCACAAGATACGCACTTGGCCTAACATAACTTTCTGTAGAAAGTTTGTCTTTCTGATTTTGCAGTATCAAGCCAGTGTCTAAACTGCCTTGAATTATCTGAACATAGTTATCGAGCTATCGGAGGCTAGGCTGAGAGCACGTTGGATGTTAGAAAATAGGATGAGGGTTAATAATTCACCTTGAAAGTTACCTGCCGAATGGCTGGCTGAACTTTCCTCATTTTAAAGAAAAAACCAAGGGGAAAGAAGTGGTTTATGCAAGGACACCTGAAAAATCAGAGTAAAACTGAACGTACACCACTCCAGGCAAGGATATAATGCACCAGCAAATACAAATAACCAGAGTTTTTTAGGTCAGGTTTACCTGAATAAGTTATTTCTGTTTGGATCGAGGAGTGGCAATGGAGCAGAAAGGTGACATTAGGAGTCGCTGGAGAAGAAAAGCAGGCAACTGTCCTGCGCAGAGCACAGCAGCTAAGAGCAGAGCCTGGGGCGGAGGACCCCGGCTACTCGGGGGGACTTACCGTAGCTCTGAGCCACTTTCTCATGTCTGAAATGCTCCCAGTGATTAAAAACCACACACAAGCATAAATGATGCAGATCCAGAGTGCCGCTAAGTACTCGGCAAAACTTGGTCCCTAGACCGAATCCAGTTCGTGATATTCCCCTGCTATTAAACATTGTTTTTTGTCAGCTTGCATTTGTAAAAGTTTGTCTCCCTACCACAGACAGGCGGGCAGGCTGGGTGGAAACAGGGTTCAAAAGCAGACCTCAATCTAGCTGCTCCTGGGCCTCTCACTACCAAGCAACTGGCAGTTCCGGAGCCACACTGCCCGGGCAGCCTCTCCTGACCCTAGCTCAGCTGCCTCGCCTGTACGGGAGGCCACAGGTCTTCCAAAGGACTGTTGCAAGGCTGGCCCCTGGCTGGCACAGGGAACCTGGATTTGGGGAGGGTCCCCCTGCCACGACCAGGAAGAGCAGCCCAGTGTGTCTAAACTTCGTGCAGTTTGAGGT